GAGTGGCGGAGGCCCTAGCTGGGCTGGCACAAGCGGCGTGCATACCAACATGACCAACACACGCATTACAGATCCTGAATCACTGGAGCGCCGCTATCCGGTGATTCTGCGTCGTTTCTGTCTTCGTGACGGGAGTGGCGGCGCCGGGATGTATCCCGGAGGCGAAGGCGTTATCAGAGACGTTGAGCTGCGGCTGCCAATGTCTGTGTCCATTCTTTCCGAACGCCGCAGCTTTGCGCCTTATGGTATGGCAGGCGGCGCTGATGGCAAGCGCGGGAAGAACACATGGATCACTAAGGCTGGCCGGCATATCTCCGTTGGTGGCAAAAATTCGATCCGCGTTCAATCTGGAGACCGGTTTGTCATTGAAACCCCTGGTGGTGGAGGGTATGGAGTCCCTGGGGCGCCAAAAGAATCAAGCGTTGATCAATCAACGGTCATGCCGTCGTTTGTTCCTATTGCCAACGGTAGTGTGGCCGCCAGTCGGAGCATGGCAGAGGAGGTATAAAGGTGTACAAAGTTAGACACATTATATTTCTTTCTTTTACAAAATGTATTATCCCTCTATTGTATCAGGGTGAATAATATTCGATAAATATTCAAAGAGTTGGGCTCCAGCTAATCAAAAGTTAAGAGCTCGACGCACAGAACAAAGACGGAGGCTGTAGGGAAACATCTCTTTACCAGAACAGAAATGTTGAATGATATCCATATGATGAGAAGCGGTCAAAAGTACTGCATTGTGCATTCCACCATCGGGTCTAGTACTCCGTGCAAACAGCCCAGATTCAATTAGGGCTGCTCTAGGCTAGCTTGGATATGCAGGCCACCGCAGAACACCAAGAGGCAATCTCCATTCACCGCTATGATCCAGAGCCCCCTGATCTACCTATGTCTCATATTCATTCTGTCATATATTATTCCCTCTGATTGGACAGTTTCAATATCAGAGATATTGCAATAAAATTCCATTCTAGTTGTTATCATATATTCCTCTCAAACCATTTGTCAATATATATTCTTTCATTCGAGCCCAGGTTCTGAGTCGCGTAGTGTTCAAACTGGAGGATAGGCTGGGATGATCGCTGAAGTCTACTTGGTTTATTGAAAGGTTTTGCTTACAGGTGATTACAAGAATACAGTAGTTCAAACAAGAGCTGTACAGCTTGAAGTTTTCACTATTTTAGCAGTATCTTATAAGCCCAACCCTAACATGACACACGCTGGTTAAATACAAATATTCCACCTTAGAAGCCCAAGCTAAGACAAGTAAGACTCGAATGAAAGATAACAAAGATACCACGATTCCTTGGCGAAGAGTAGAAAATCACAGCACATAGCGAAAGGCTGGCTGCTCGAAATCTGTCATATCCAGGAATTCAGAACCAGGGGTAGCATGTGCAGTATCAGGGTCCTCGATCGCCCTGCGGTCGCGTCTCTTGTTCTCCATGATGTTGATCACCCGAATTGCTACCAAAGTGACTGCTGCTAGAGCATACATGATAGCGACCATCAGCTTGCCATCGAAATATTCAGGCGCTTGGGTTGAACGGAATGTTTGAGGACCGATCCAGTTTCCGGCTGCATATGCCACGATCTGCAGGCCGTTCACTGTTGCTTTCTTGGTATATCCTAGGGTGTTGTTGGAAATCATCACCATCACGAGACACCAGGCAGTTCCAGCGGCACCGATCAAGTAGTATCCTATCAGCAAGGCGGCTTTGGCGTCAAGGGGGATCACAGTCATCATGATACCGCCGATCATGGGAATCAGAATGGCGAATATGGCAAAGAGGGTGCGATCAAAGAAACGATCGGAGAGATAGGTCAATCCCAATTTACAGATAATGTCCACGACGCCCATTGGCATGTTCAAAATCAGGGACATGCGGTCAGAAAAACCAAAGGAGCTGATGATGATTGAGCCAAAGGTCGTGATTCCCCCGTTGGGAATGTTCATCAGCAGCGAGAATAGCACGTAGAGATAGGTACGTGGGTCGCGGAACGCTTCAAAAAATTGTGGCCATTTCCATGATTGATTGCCGATTCCTTGGAAGTTGCCCCGAATTCGATCAATGGCAATAAGCTTCTCACGGTGATTCAAGAACCGGGCCTGAATCTGGTTGTCTGGCATGTACCAAAGATACACTATACCAGTTATGACAGTGGGCAGGCCAAATACCAAGAAGAGGATTTTCCAAACAGCAATGGTAGTTCCACTTACCCCCGCTAGGCCGTAGGCAATGGGTCCAATAAGCACCTGGGCCAATCCGTTACAACTAAGCCAAAAGCCCATGCGTCTGGCTTGTTCCTCTTGTTTATACCAGCAGGAAGTGAACAAGACAAAGGCTGGCGTTACTGTTGCTTCGAATGCGCCAAGGAAGAAGCGGACGCACAGCAGGGTCGCATAGTTATGAGTGGCTGCATGGCAGACGAGTGCGATACCCCAGAGCACGATATTGACCGAGGTATATTTGCCCAGAGGCAGGCGACGAAGCAGATAAGTGGTGGGGAATCTAAGCATAGACATGAGCAACATGTAGAAAGCAATAGCGGAGAACAGACTTACTCCCAAAAGATATATCCCGCATAGAAAATACTCGACACCCAGCTGTATTGCTGCGAGTTGGGAGCCAAATTGGTGTCTTCCCGAATGCCCATAAGCGAGGCATAGTTCAATGATGTTTTGTCGGCAAACTGTATCAAATAAACCCAGCAGAGCAAGGGCATGAGGAATCGATCGATTTTGGATAGAACCTTCTTGGCCTCGTCGGGGGTATATTCAACCTCCTCTGCGTTCATGAATTGGAGGGCAGGATCGAGGTCCTTGATCTCTTGCTGCTTCAGGTCTCCATCCTGAATGTCCATGACCGCTTGCTCTGCATCACGCTTTGATGGAACCTCGGATAGCTTCATATCGTTTGACATGGTGTCTCAGTTCATGCCTGTATAACCTTCGAATGCCAGAATCATGAAGCCATGGCTTCCTCTTTAAATCCTCTGATATTGGGCTATCAATAGGACATTTGGCAGCCTATGGGGAAGTAGCCAAGCTCCAAGCTGTACCCCGGAATTTGTGGAGGTGGACATTTTCCTGGTGGAGCTCCATTTTTGTGTGGACGGGCTTATCAGATTCCCGAGGATTTTAGGTTTTACATATCGATATGATAGCAACAGCCCCGGATTGCCCAGGATTGGGATTTCCTATCTCAACTATCTTCATATCTGAAACCTGTCATATCCTATTGCCAATAGTCCTATCGCTTCACTGTCTGATTTATGCATTCGGCCACGTACCGAACATTCGACCCGTTAAGCCCCGCTATTGATACTCGCGAGCTCTCCGCCATATAGATATGGTATTCCTCTATACAAATGTCAACTACCCATCTCAGGAAAATAACTTCCACTTTAAATGTGTTTTTACCACTTACTTTGTAAATGGTGTACTTGATCCGGCGTGAGACCAAGAATGCAGAACATTCCCTTTTGCTCGGTGATGCGCTTCCAGTCTCCCGGGGTGCCTAACAAACAATCAGAGAAATATTCCATATGAAAACTTAAAAACAAGGGGTCGGAAAGCATACAAAGCTCAGTCAACCCTTGATATAACTGCCAGCGCATTTCCACGATTCGCGAACTCATCGTGACGAGATCTTTCCGCCACTGCGCATAAAGCTCCTCGTCTTCCAGAACCGCAGCTGCAATGCGCGCGCCAAATGCTGGGGGGTTGGATATTTCAACACGGATCATTCGTGCCAAACTTGACTCGACAGCGGCTGTGATAGTGGGAGTATTCGATGAAAAGGCACATAATCCGACACGCTCGCCTAAACAACGTTTGAAACAGGTTAACATTGGACAGAGAAACAATAACACTAGAATAATCTTCATACCGTAGAGACCCATGCTTTTGGCAAACGAAAGACACACGGCGATCTCAAGACCAAGCTCATCGGCGAAATAACGGATGGCAAATGCATCGCGATCGTAGTCGCCAGAGGTCAATCCCAAGTACGCGGCGTCAAAGAGGGGGAATAGCTGTCGCTCTTTCATAATAGCACCGATCTGTTTCCATTGTTCTGGACTGTAGTCCCAGCCGCTTGGATTGTGCGCGCTGGCATGAAACACAAAGATGGACTTTGGGGCTGCCTCGTTCAGTGTTTGGATCAATGATTGCATGTCAACACCGGCACTAGACGAATAATTAAACTCGCGGACTGTGAGGCCAATTGACTCGAAAACCTGACGGTGATTCGACCAGCTAGGTTTGGTTATATACACGGTTATATCGCGACCAAGGGCCTGCTTAAGCATTGTTCCGGCGATGTGGAGTGCGCCTGTACCAGACAGAGCTTGACAGGATGCGACCTGGAGGAAACCAATAAATCAATGAAATGACTGTCTGCAAGAAGGTAAATATAACTCACTCGATCTTCCTGAATCGCAGCAGAATGCTTGCCAAAGACCAAATCTGCAGCCAGTGTCCGAAGTGATGGGAGCCCTAGGATCGGGAGATATTCATGGTTGGAGTCCTTGATTTTCTCTTTTGCCAATCGCACCGCGGGCAAGATCCAAGGGTTGCCATTTTCGTCTTTGTAGGTTCCTTGTCCAAGATTCACTTTGTGCGGAACTGGATCCGCATTGTATGTTTTGGTGAGCTCGAAGATAGCGTCCGGGGCCGTATAGTCCACAAGTTCGAAAAACGAAGAAACAACGCTCATTGTGCCAGGTGAGTGATTTCTTTTTGGATGAAAGTGGGATGTTCGGCAAAATAGAAAGTAGCAAAAGTCAATGGAGTCAGTTATATTAGCCTGGATTGCGTTATGTGCCTTTCAATCAATAGCGGAGCCCGGCGATGGAAGACAAGGTGGAGCTCCACCGACAGAGCGATATAGCAGAGGTCAATGAATAAGAGGACGAAGTGGGAGCAATAAATAGCAACCAGATACTGAATATCGGCATTTATTCAATCCCTCGCACTCAAAAATCACAACAAAATGGCAGCAAAGCCCAACTTCGGTGTTTACACACCACTGGTCACGTTCTTCGAGGAGGATGAGTCGCTCGATCTCCAAAGCACTTTGGCTCATGCGAAGCGCATGGCCGAAGGTGGGGTCACTGGGCTTGTGCTTCAGGGAAGCAATGGAGAGGCTCCTCACCTGGATCATAGCGAACGCAAATCTCTGGTGCGCGCTGTCCGCGACCACCTTGACAATCTGGGCTATACAGGGTTGCAGTTGATTGTCGGTTGCGGCGCACCTAGCGTGCGGGAAACACTATCTTATATCTCAGAGGCTAAAGCGTCCGGTGCCAATTTTGCTCTCGCATTGCCACCGGCATACTGGGTTGCAGCCATGAATGCACCCGTTATTGAAAACTTCTTCCTCGAGGTAAGATCTTTCTATATCCCGAAAAAGAAACCATCTCTCGTGTTTTCATGGTCTAACAATACCTCAAAATCCAGGTCGCCTCTCAATCCGAGCTTCCTATTCTCATTTACAACTTCCCTGGTGTGACGGGAGGCATCGACATCAGTTCCGATTCCATCATCCGCCTCGCCAAATCCAATCCAAATATTGTCGGGTGCAAGCTCACCTGCGGTAATGTTGGAAAGCTTCAACGTGTCTCATCGGCACTTTCAGGGACATCATTTGCTACCTTTGGTGGAAAGTCGGACTTTTTCCTACCTGCGCTCGTCGCTGGGTCAAACGGGATTATTGCCGCACTCGCCAACATTGTACCCAAGCTGCATATGAAGGTATTGCAGTACTACGAGAAGGGGGAGCTAACGGCAGCACAAGAGCTTCAGTCCAAGCTCAGTCATGCCGACTGGGCCCTCACCAAGGTAGGCATTGCGGGTGTCAAAGCTATCGTATCCCATCATTTCGGATACGGTACGGGTCGGGGACGCAGACCGCTAGGGAACGCAACGATCACATCTTTGAGTCAAGAAATTGTGGCTCCCATAAATGAGGTGGTCGAGCTGGAGAAACGTTTGTGAAGGAGTATGGGATTGACGGGGAAACGCATATTTAAGAATCAATAAATGAACATGAACTCTAAGAGTTAGAAGAAAGAAAATGAGAAGCAGTTTACAGAATTGAATCTGGTTGAAAGCCTAATTTCCAGAAAAGAAAATTCTGGGACTTGGGTGGATTTGGACCTACATGGTGAGATGCAGGATCCCGTTGTTATGCATGATACATTATAGCGCCTATAATTCCAATATCACATTGTCAACTGGTCTGGATATGCGGGTTATACCCGAATCACTGCTGACCATCATGATCTCATTTCCCCTTGATTTCACCTGTGGGTTGCCTCCAGGTTGTCATATATAATTCCTGTTTATTCCATAGGTCTGAATCCAGAGATCTTCACTTTATTATCCTTCTTTGTGGTATACTTCCACACATTGTATTCGTCACTACATAGCAACTGAAGCTACATATAGAAAAAGCACTGCTAACACGAATAATCAGGCGTCTGTTCTTGATTCTAGGGGTTACCGCTCTTAATAACTGGGTCACGCGCAAGGCAACCGACATAGCCAACCTTCTTTTTTTTAAAAACAAGTAGATGAAAAGTTAGAAAGAGTGAGTGGATATTGGATGAATCTTTCAATTATAAACAGATAAACATTCTATTTGATCAAGAGGAAATGATTCAGTTTCCCTGTCGACTGTTTTCGCTCCAAAAAGACAGACCGGCTTCCATTCGTCCTGTTCCATAAATGGCCGAACTATCCAAGCACTCGCCAGCATATTCTCGGGCTGCCGTAAGACGAGCTGACGCAACCTCGAGCGTTGGAAGACGAGTTGAATGACTGGCAGCGATGGAGAGGGCATGTTTCATGTCTTTGCTTGCAAGGGCTGCTGCAAATCCAGGAGACGTGTCCAGCGGCGGTGCATACGTGCCAGTGGTAATACGTTTTGAGTAGCTTTCGAGCACAGGACCAAACATATTGCCAATAAACTCCTCCAGCTGTTGATTGCCGATCCCTGTCACTTCAGCGAATACATGAGCTTCTGCAATCACTTCCATGAAGCTGATAACGAGAATATTTCTGGAAGAAGGAGTGAATTAGCTCAATTTTGTTGATCCTTTCAATGATTGAATGGATACCTACCCCGAGATTTTGAGAAGGCTCGATTTTCGCACATCTTCTCCCATATCAATGATGCTGCGTCCCATGACGTTTATAATAAGAGGTTTGATTGTCTCAACTGCAGTAGAAGGTCCGGCTACCGCAAAGATCAGCTTCCCAGAGGCTGCCACGGGGCTAGCACCAAATACTGGAGCAGCTATGAATGTTGCCCCATATTCACTGAGACGCGATGTGGCCCATTCTGATGTGTCTGGATGAATAGTAGAAGTGTCCACGAAGATTTTGCCTTTCAATGAATCGTCCGCAACCAAGGCCTTGTTAAATAGTTCAATTAGAACATCGTCAACGGAGATCTATTTCTCTCGTCAATAAAATGCGCATCCTGTAATAAAAGTGCCCCTCATACCATTGTAAAGATTACATCCGAATTTAGGACAACATCTTCGAACTTCTCTTCAGGTATGGCTCCTTGATCACGAAGAAGGTCACCTTTTGACAAAGTGCGATTGCTGTAACGAAGTGGCGACAAATTGTTGCTTTGAAGATATTTTTGGAGATTGAGGGACATTCCTAGGCCCATTGATCCAAGGCCATACTATGCTGGGTCAGCAAATGGACAATCAACTAAGGAGATTATAACATACCCAGCCAACTCTCAGTGAAGTCATTGCGGCACTTTAAATTGCAGTTATTCGATTTGACAACTTTCTGGGAGACGTTTAGCTTGTTCGCGGATTTATAATTGCGGCCAACCTGAAGAGCTGAACTGTATATGTGGAGCTCCACTTCTACCTGGGCATTCCACTGTACCCACCGTCCACCCGTCTGATAACCCCGCGGTTTACTCGGCTCCAGTACCCGGGATTTCGCCCAATACAGCCAGCATGGAAGGCCCGATCCCCCACAATGATCTTCGCTGACAGAAGGCCTTGATTAAATTGACAAATAGTGACTCGCCTTCATCGAGCAGACTAACAAAAGCCTCTCGATCCATGGTCCACAACCGAGGGTCTCGCACACAGTCATTTTCTGTGGAATTTAGAAGAGCGGACTCCATGAGGGTGTTGAAGATCAACATGCAGAATTCCGAGGTTCTCGGGAGTTCGTTGAACGTGTTCAAGTGGTGACGGATATCGGTGCTTGCGCGTTTGAGCGCTCCCCAGATACATAGTAAAACACCGTAACTGGCCACAGTGACCCATGGTGCTTCACGGACCACTTTATCCTGCTCTTCCCCGGAGATGCTGGACAATGCGCCAGATAAATCATTCAAAAGGGCTAAAATGCCCTCATCGCCACCGACATGGTAAGGAACAAGAGGTGCTGATCGCCGGATCGCGACAAGGTTCCCCTGAGTCAGGTGAGTGGAGGCAGCCATCCCAGCAATCAAGCTGTTATCCACAATGCCTGCTATCAAGAGCTGATCGGGACGACATAAGCTGATTTTGAGAGAAGAGATGAAGAGCTCGTTCGTCCTCCACAGGAGAAACTGAGGGCTGTCACCTGTGTAAGCCTGCTTCTTGACGATCTTCGTGATTGCTTCTATTGCTGTATGCACTTGTTTATTCTGACCCTGAGTCAGTATATGGAATGGATTCGGGTCGGATGGACTGGGCGGCATTTGATAGTAGCATCGCGTAAAGTCTCGCACAAGGGCACCCATGTTCGTCAGGACGCAAAATGCGGCAAAGGGGGACGCTTCTAGCGCTGCTAAAAGGTCCGAGTCCGGTGTTTCGGTCATAAGTTGCTGAGTAGCAATTGTCAAAGAAGCCGTTCCTAGGCCTCGTGGCCCGTGCAACAGAGTGTTTGCTATTGTAAAAGTCGAAAGTCCAAAGTTCTCATTGAATCTCAGAAGCCATATCTGAGAGTTTTTGGCTTCCCACAGATTGATGGGGAAGGGTAGTTCCCAGCCAAGTTCCATCGGTGACATCAAAGGGCGAGAATTGCAAGGCGAAAATGTATGTGAGTCCAGGAAGACTAGAGTGTACAGCGACAGTCTCATCGATTCAGTAGTAATATAGGACGTCCACCGTGTGTAGAGAGTTTGAGAATCATCTCCTGGTGAATTGAAATCAATTTGGTACATCCAAGACTGAGCATCCGGCATAGCGATACCCTGTTGAAACAGACCAATTTCGTGTACAGCCTATATCACAAGATAAGCCTAGGTAAAGGGGAAACGAAAATTGTAGAAGACAATACTGACATCAACAAGTTGCCGCAACATCTTTTTAACGGTTTGGAATTGGCCTGCTTCGGTTGCGTATACCCCGTAGATTATATAGAGAAGCCATGCTTGCATGACCCATGGGTGTCTGATCTCACTGCAATTCGAGGAAACCTATTACAATATTGGTTAGAACGTCGATTCTAAACCAGACGGTAGTAGGGTCTCATGTTATACCATATGCCGAAGCTCTTCTTGTCCACTTTGCCATATATCTTGGCGCCAGTGTGCGAGAGCTTGGGTTTCCTCATGGTCGTATAAGTTGGGAGAAAATAGGCTCCCAATGACAATAACTGCCTTCAGCAGCAGCTTCGGCGTCGAGGATACAGCGAATGTAGGTCGATGCAACAGAGGGAAAGACGGGTGGAAATGCTCAAAATACTGCTTCACATATGTTTCTTCGCTATTGGCTTGATTACTGTTGGTTAAGCTTCCGTTATTAGACGTGTAATTTCAATCGATGAGCCCCCCCCCTTAATGCGGAAGAGCATCGGGTGCAATTAATACAAATCAATTTGAGGTAGGCATACCTGGGTGAGGAAGATGAGAAACTCTGGGGTAGCTCAGTGGCAAATGTACTGTGCTCTTCCCAAAAATCTTCGTCGGTGACAACACGTTCAGCCGGGTTGCGGTTGGTGGTCAAAGGTGAGGGTATGCCGACCATTGCCTGGGGGGTATGCGTATCCTCCCACGGCACCTGCGGCTGAGGTGTTCGAATTGGAGGTCCAGTCGCACGGCAACGATCACCATGTCGTTTATATACGTCGCTGCAGAATTATCAGTGTTATTGTAATGGCTGGCATGAGAATGGAAACCAGACCTTCGAGAGAATCGAGCATGACACCTCCCACATTGGAAGTTCCTGCGCGAAGCACCGCCGTGACCTTGTAGGACATCAATATCTAATTTTCTATGAAGGATTATCCATACAGACTTACGTGCACGCTTATGCCGCTGTAGGTTTTCCTGCGGCACGCGCGTTAGAACTAGGCAAAGGAGATAAGGCACTGAGGTACTTACACTCCGGGTAAACAACTTTGGGCATTCATCACAGGGAAATGGACGATGGTGGTCGACGCCATTGCCGCTCGCCATGTTTGAGGTGTGATTCATATCGTTCATTTTATGGGGATTGAATACAGAGGGGAAATACGGTCTTGACTGTTAACCAGTGCACGTGCCGCTATCTTCACGGCAACCTTAACTTGGTAAGCTGAACTTCTAACATTGTAGGTATATCTTGTAGATATATCTTGTTGGATTTTTGTAGATTCTAATCAAGATTTTATGATATGTCGCGGGGGAGTTGAGAGGCCCTCACTTTTTAACTAGTTAACTAACGTAATTTGGGATGTCTGCCGTATTGATCAGGCCGCAATACTCACCGGGTCTCCAATTTACATCATCGTTCCAATATCCCCTGGGCCATGGATGCAGAGTGTCCCCTTGAACTATGGTGATATTCTAAAGCACTGGTTTAGTCCTTATTGCCTTCAAATACGACAGACTGTCCGGGAAACTGGCCGGTATCGCCGGTGACTTTCGGTGTATACCCCGCGTTGTGGAGATTCGGCCTAGGACCATTCAATAAACTGGTTACAGCCATGATTAGACTTATATGGAAGTCCCAGCTTGGCACTATGGGCACAATAAGGTCAATCCGTCATCCCTGTTGATGTAATTGCTTTCCATCACTAGGTACTTTCGAGGGAGGAGGCCAAGGATATGTGCAGCGCACTCGGGTGATGATTGGAGCCCTGGAGGTGCTATCTGATTACGTAATTGTCAGTTATGAAAAAGCGGCAAGAGGTGAGCACTAAATTGGAAGTGGGAAGGCGTCGATTGCAACCTTAGACATTGACCGGCAATTAAATACGTTCCGGTCACAGTTCTTTTATCTCGTAGACTACCTACTCACTAGATCTTAAGAGGTTAAACTTAAATGTCCAAAATCCATCAAGTGGACCCGGGCAGATCAACTCCGATCCCCTTTCAACGTCACCCGTTCTGAACCATTTACTTGCAATCCATGAAACCACCCTGAGAGCCAACAAATATCAAACTCATGGCTTCCTTGGATCTTCAGAAGCAGGTTGGCCAGGTACATGAGCGCTGCAATCCTTCCTTTTTGAATCTCCACTGACGATCGCAGCTCTTCGCGGTGGGGTTCTATGGGTGCACCCCAAGTCCTGAAATCAAGACTTTGATCCATGACTACCATGTTGGAGGCATAGTCCTCTTCTCGCGCAATTTTGAGAATGCAGAGCAGCTTCAGGTGCGATATCCGAGGCTATTTTGTCTTTAATTAGCTTGACTAATATTCCCTAGGCCTTAACGCTGGCTTTACAGAATGAAGCCAAATTGGCTGGACACGAGCGACCACTGCTGATCGGAATCGATCAAGAGAATGGACTGGTAACTCGCATTTCTCCTCCGATCGCTGCTCAGGTACCAGGGCCTATGGCACTGGGCGCCACGCATGACCCGGAGTGCGCATACAGTGCGGGGAAAGCCACGGGGGAAACCCTGAGATTCTTCGGGATTAACATGAACTATGCACCAGTGTGCGATATTAACTCGGAGCCTTTGAACCCTGTTATTGGTGTACGCAGCCCGGGCGATGACCCTGAATTTGTGGGCCGGTTTGCGAGTGCGGCCGCCCGGGGTCTGCGGGAACAAAACATCGTCCCCAGTGTAAAGCATTTCCCAGGTCATGGAGACACAGCTGTCGACTCGCATTTCGGACTACCGGTCATTCCTAAAACAAGGGATCAGCTAGAGCGCTGCGAGTTGATTCCCTTTAAGCGGGCTGTCGCTGAAGGCATAGAGACCGTCATGACTGCTCATATCTCCCTGCCCTGTATCGATCTCACGCGGCCTGCGACGCTTTCTCCGGATGTTATGGGGATTTTGCGCAAGGACATGGCCTATGATGGTATGATCATCACGGATTGCCTAGAGATGGATGGAATCCGCGCCACATTCGGTACAGAGGAAGGCTCGGTCCTAGCGTTGCGTGCTGGTAGCGATAGCATCATGATCTGTCATACCTTTGATGTGCAGGTGGCTTCGATCAAGAGAGTATGTGAAGCAATCAAGTCCGGCATAATCGATCAATCACGACTGGCGGACGCTTGTCGCCATGTTGCTACGGTGAAGGACAAGTTTTTGAACTGGGATGCCGCTCTTCGGCAATCCAATCTTGCAAACCTGAGCTCGCTCAACAATAGAATTGCCGAGACAACCATGGATATATATTCTCGATCAACCACACTCGTTCGTGACGATAATGGTATTCTCCCCCTGTCAAAGAATTCAATCATCATCTTCCTCTTCCCCGGAGACAAGACCCCAGTCGGTGGTGCTGTTGATGGCGAAGGAACGGAGAAACCAGGGGTATACCAGTCCAACAAATATCTTGATGTGCTGCGGCAACACAACAATTCCATTGCTGAAATCAGATACGGAGCGACCGATCTGACTTTTGAACAATGGCAAACTCTTGAAGTCGCTGACGCGGTGATTTTCACTTCCCTCAATGCAAGAGAGTCGCCATACCAGGAGTCGCTAGGCCTAGAACTTGCTCAACGTGTTAAGTCATTGGTGCATATTGCTGCCTGCAACCCCTACGACTTCCTTGATGCTCCTAGCGTCAAGACTTATATTACCACATACGAGCCGACTATAGAGGCATTTTCTGTGGCTGCCGATATCATGTTTGGTGGACTGGTCCCGACAGGCGCTCTTCCCGTGGGAGCGAATTCCGTGACCAAGACCTCCGCGGTAGTAACACCATTTGACGCACAAAGAGATCTGGATGAGGTGATCGAAGTCTGGGCTGCTGCTCTCCCGACCTACCTCGTTCCAACTGAAAGCTTGCGGTCTCTGATAGTGCGCCCGTATGGTCACCATTTCATCGCGCGCATTGAATCCCAGCTAGTAGGCTTCTGTCTTGCTTACACAAATGCCCACGGTACACCAGACACCGTTTATATCACAGTTCTTGCCGTGTCACCGAAGTACCAACACCAAGGCATTGGAACTATTCTGCTAGAAGAAACGAGGGCATACTTCCGCACAACCTTTGGCTTCAATAATGTGAAGCTGGGCAGCTCATTCCCCCGCTTTTGGCCTGGTATTCCCCAGGACCTTCCAGAAACAGTGCAGCATTTCTTCACTCACCGTGGTTTCCGACTCAGCCCGACCAGTGCCCGGGCAGTTGACTTGTACCAAGATATTCGGAACTTCCAGTCGCCAGAGAAGTATATGACTCGTGCCCGGGAGCGAGGCTTCCGCTTCGCACCATTAAAGGCCGAAGATTACGAGGCCTGTCTGGTTGGTCAAAGAAGAAACTTCTCTAAAAACGGGGTAAGACCGCCGTGTTTTTCCTGCACTTATCCTTTGTTGCAATATGTACTAATTTTTTCTAAAGAGCTGGGTGGAGGCATACGTCGCATTGCATCCCGACAAGTATCCTGACAGTGTGATGACAGCATTCGACTCCCAAGGCCAGCAGGTCGGCTGGACATTAATGCTCGGCCCATCAGATGCTCTGAACACGTCTTGGGCATTTCCACAAACCTGTGGTCCGAACACAGGGCTGATCGGTGCCGTTGGGATTGATGAGTCCCACCGTAAGTATGGCATTGGTCTGGCATTGATCTGCCACGCTATTGAAAACATGAAGCAACGAGGTCTTGAAGGCGTCTTTGTAGACTGGGTTGCACTCGACGGGTGGTATGAGCAGGTTGGTTTCAAGACTTGGCGAAGCTACAGACCGGGAGAGCTTTGAGTATCTCATAGCTATTGCTTCTTTGTTATTCTTCACAGTCTGGATTCGATTATTATAGCTGCTGATATAAACAATCCAGACCTTTGAAACAGGATCACTCTTCCTACATGGAAGGCTGAACCTTATGATCTTGCTGTCACGAGCTTGATTTTGCTCCTTTGTACGATGTATTTTCGGTCCTGTCACCAGGAACTCACGGTAATACAATGAATCAATGCTGGTCAGAAGTTGTCATGGCATCAACCTTGGCCCGACAATTTCGGAAGTATTCAGCCTTCTGCTCGGGAGTCCAACCCGAACGAGGAACATTCACCCCCTTTTGAACAGCAGCACGCTTATCAATCTCCTCAACCCACCTCTTCAAAGCCGGGAACTCAGACAGATCAATTTCCAAGCACATATCGGCATTGCGGACCCAAGCGAAACTCGCAATATCGGCAATAGTATACTTCTCACCCGCGAGGTAAGGGCTTTCCTTCAACCGCGACTCGAGGACTGAGTAGAGACGCTTCGTCTCGTTGACAAACCGTCTAATAGCGTAATCGGAGCGCGTGTTGGCGAAAAGACGGAAGTGGTTTGCTTGTCCTGCTGGGTATTAGAGAAGCATCTAAACGCACGTACAAGGTGGATTATCTGCACGCACCTTGCGGTCGGTGTCGTACTTGTCGACTAGATATGTCATGATTGCTCCGCTTTCGAAAACGCGCAGTGAGCCATCGAGTAGAGCGGGGATGCGGCCATTGGGGTTAATCTTCAGGAACCATCTGTTCGATGACTCTAATCAGCATGTTCTAACATGTCTGCCTGAGTAGTGGAGAGAATTGTACTCTTCCTTTTGAGTATTCGAGTTGGAGCTGATATCAATTCCTTTGGCTTTGTAAGGCAGACGTAGGCAGACCAAGCTCCTCAAGGGTGATGGATGCTTTGATGCCATTCGGCGTGGGCCAGGTATATATGGTATTGTTTGAAGACATGGTAGAATATGGGTAAAATCCTTTTTGAGGGTTGAGATAGACGTGGTGAAGGAGAGAAGATCTGGAATAATGACAAGTAGATATAAGCAACTCCTCACAGGTGGGGAATGCTTATTTATCAACTCCCCGTACCTCCAGGGATATCCCCTGAAAAATATATCCATCAATGTCTTGTTTGCAGCCTGTATAACCAATAGTAATCAGAGCGGTTCTGATATGACATCGGTCCGGTCGACGACTCTTTTGGCCCTCTCGAAGTACCACCATACTGAGACTCCCCCGTCAGGTCTCTACACCCACTTTCGGTATATGTACATCTTGTGACCGATGTGGGCAATGCCAGATACACCGGTGAACGAGAGGGCATAGAGACCCGACGGGGGATCTCATTATGAGACAGCGTCAGCTACGTTTGACCAGTTGGTGAAATGCAGGTGTAAACAAAATACCATAGCCACCTCAAGTCGTAGGAACAAGGTTCATACGATCCAAGGCACGATTTGCAAGTCTCGCAAGACGTCGATATCAAAGTGAACAGAGCTATCAGGATTTTGTCGCCCCGGGCCAAGAAGATCGCGTCGTTTGATCACGAGCCGTTGGTTACTCGTGTTCGAAGGACGAGGGAAGATTTTATATATGAAGAAGAAGATATAAGTCTCTAGTGTTCAATCTACGAAAGACCGGAGTATTTATACCCCGTGTCTATTAAATGATCTGCTCGGTCTGCAAGCAAACAATCAACATGGCATGGTACAATTTCCAACAATAACGACCTTGATACTCCCGATGCCTCCTACTAGTAATAGGTTAAGGTTATTTTTATAGTCTTGGTATTATTTTACTCTACCTAGATTCGATAGTAATAATTAGAAGGATAGAGCCACGAGTCATAAAAAAGAGACCCGGTTCCTCCCTAGAATTGCGGTACGGGCCACTAGGGAATTGCAGAGCTGTTTTCATTAGCCTTAAGTGCCGGGTAAACCGTCAAATGACTTACTCCCTCCGCATTCTCCGTAGATAGTTTCCTCTTCGTGCTACGTGATGGCCCTAGTTATGCCCCATGTGAACAATTGGTTATACAGCCACGGCTGGATACAGTTGTGGATTGGTGTCAGCACTCTCAGCACGCCCGCCACATTATCGTAGGCCTTGCGAATAGTCTCCAGATCAGGGAGACTATACATAGAGGTAGTCAACCTCATTGACACATTTTCGAAGTCGAGAGAATGCACTGAGGCTATTTGTAGCTACATAGGTATAATTCAACTACTGAGTCGGCTAAGTCCCTTGTGTCTATCGTTAGAATGTGTTCAAACAGCCAATTACCAAGATTCTCTCCGCGGTAAGACCTAGAAAATGGTGGTAAGCCCTTGCGTCAATTGCCAAGAGCTTATGCGCATCACGGCGGCGCAGTTGCCAGCTTTTCTCCTTATAGCGGATCAGCTGGAGGTCATTCTCAAGACATTTCGGGGTCGCTGCAAGTCCGCTGAGCAGGCGACAAAGAGGTCTCTGACCTTTTCGGATTTCGCATAATTAAATCGAAAAGCAACTTCGCTATATTGGCAAAAATACAGAGATACTCCATCTTGGCTCTCTTTGATTAAGCCTTTACGCCCTGTAGGAACTAGCGATTTTCATAGAGAGAAAACGTTACTGTTACTGTTTCTTTGTTTGGCCCAAGGCAACACCAGCATCAAGAAAAGGCAATTTAGCTCTTAGTTTATCCCGATCCGATGTTAAGGAATAGTTAGTTTCTTTTTCAAACACTTGAACCTTCGTATATCTTTACAACTGCTTATTTCCCTTTGCCCCTTGCAGCACACATATGTTACATTCCCAAGGATGCATTGGCCACGTGAAACCTGCGATCTATGTGTACCTAGGGTGTGCAGGCACCCGCAAAGAACTATAGCAGTAAGCGATCACTGGGGACTCTGGCCCCATTGGCTTTTAGGATTGACCGCTTGCATCTTCGCTGTCCTCGAAGTAATTTCTATACTTCAATTGATCAGCGTGATGACAAGTTCCTAGCTGTATATTTACAGTGGGTTGTCGCTCATATAGAAATGGTATAGTCGGCCGCTCATGCTCATATTGCCTATGTATTTAACTATATTAGCCTAGAATCACCTAAATACAGAAGCGGCACTCTGCATCTGACATGTCAAGTATACTAATTTGGAAGGCGCAGGGCAAGCCAGTGGAGCAACAGTGATTAACGGGATGTGATCTCAGTATTCTACTGTAAATTGTGTCATGACTTGTATGGGGCATTGAGATGTTACAAAAACATCTCGAAACATTTCTCCCAAGGGATAACCGAATTGGGATAGAAGGCTGTCGATCCCCACATGGTCAGCCACGAGCTTAGCGTTGCAACCCCCAGACACGGGCCGCTCGAGCCTCGAAGACCACATGTCGCCGGAGACGGTCACAATTCCGGTCCACGTTTTCTGGAGTGATGATGCGATCATCTTTTAATGTGCCGCTTTGGTCAGATCAGCATTAGGCCAAGGCACTTTCTAGGAAACACGATGATTTTTGAGGTTTGACTTGGCAAGATAAACATTTCGAATAATTGCCAGGTCTGGGGTTACATCTAATGCCTCTAGCGCTCATTGTGCCCTCAAGAGAAAAACGGCAACTCAAGTGCGCTCGGGCTGGGGCTGGCATAATGCTAATAAAGATCGGGATCAAGTATTGGAGTAAAAGCATCCGATATTTGCGTACGGGTTTTCATGCCGGTCCCCGAGGGTAATTCGTCCCCGAAGACTTAAGGTTGTATTTGGCTTATTCCGTACACTAGACTGCGCTAGCGTGAGACTTCAACCAAATGTCTCTCCAATTCTGCCCCGGATTTTGAATTTCTTTTTCTTCTTTATTAATCTCGAAAAAGGATTTAATCTCAGATGTCGCTTACTGTATTTGAGAATCCAAGTCTCAATGCGGTTCCAAACGGTAAATATCTTGGCCACGTGAAAGTCTGAGCCCTCACCGGAAACAAGCATGAACGGCAGGGATGACTGTGATTTAAGCCTAATTTAGCGTAAATCGACTGGCCAGCCATATGCCTAAATGATTTTTCTCCAATCACAATCCCGGACCGTGCCCAGAGGCGATTGCCGTAGCGCGATGCGATTTGTCTAATGGGGCGCTCGCCAGACGCCAATATTGAGACTTGATACATTGCGAGAATTACTTTCCATATCCGAATCTGACAGGGATTATGGGGTAGAATTTGATTGAACATGGATTCAAGCACCACATACCTAGTAGGTGATAAATCTGGGGCTTAACGGTAGAATGGTATACTTTCAAATCGGACTCGAACGGGTCTGGACCGTGATCCCGGTCGAGAGCCAAAGGTCCTGGGTTCTTGTCCAAATGCATGTAGTGCTTGGGCCGAGAGTCCCATACTTGTTTCTAGTACTTGGCAGGGAATGTAGTCTCTAATGTAGCATTTTGCCGAGCCCAAGTCTTTCCACTAAGGGTCGGAGGCTTACCGTAAGAGTGGAGTATGTCTTTGTCCATTTTCTTAGGGTTTGGAATTTCCCCACGGGCAATTCAACGCGGGATCCCCGGATTGGATCCGTTTCGGGAAGTAGATCAGAGCGAAGTCATGGCAATAACGTGCCATTTTGGCTTTAGTCGTGAGGCTTTGACATCTTTTATTCTGGCCAATGAGATGTGCGCCTCTTGTCAAACGGACTGCCCTGGGAAAGGATCGGAGAACATAAAAAGGTGTTCCCTCCCCCCCAATGTCATAAGTTACCATTCACAACTTTGTTTGCCTCTAGAGACTCATTATCAAACGAGGTACTCCGGTAACTGAAGCTGTTGGCTTTCCAACTCTTCCTCTCCATCAACCTTTCTCTTTTCTCTTTCCCACATAAGATTCAGCTAAGCCCACAGCTCTAGTTTATTCCTTGGCCCCTATTAAACTAGACAGACTTCAGAATGGATAAAGAGGATATTACTGAGATAGACTCTGGGCAGCGGTGAGTTTTACACCCTTCCTGGTCGTTTTCTGATGCTCATCTCGATTTAATATAGTTCCAGCGATGATCAAAACAGCGCCGAGAAGGGCTACTTTGAGCAAGTTGACCTCCACAACAATTTATCCGCCAAGTAAGCTTCACTCGTGGATCTAATGCAAATGCACCGGGCATATATTCCTCTCAGTGCCCTAACACCATGCAGGATCAAGAACCCTTTGGCCGACTTGACCAAGAACCAGGTGCTCCGCAACGTGGAAGAGTTTGCCGAGGAGTACGACGTGACAGACATTCTACCCCAGTTGAAAAAGGGAGCGCTAGTTGCGCGTAATCCTACCGAATTTGAGACAGTGTCAGACTTGACCGAGTTGGAGCTCACTGCCCTCCGTGACGAAGTGCTCCACAAGTGGCGTCAGCCTAGATCACTTTACTTCACCATTATCCTTTGCTCTATCGGCGCAGCCGTGCAGTATGTAATGCTCCCAGAACGCTTTGGGTACACTCCTAACATCAATATAGAGGATGGGATCAGACTGGATCTAATGGTGCTAACCTGTCGTTCCCTGATGCTTTTGGTATCTCAGAAGATCCCACGAAGAGCGCTCACGCCGATCGAAACCTGTGGCTCGTCGGCATCGTTAATGCTGCTCCCTACATTGCCAGTGCGTGCCTTGGATGCTGGCTTTCGGACCCATGCAACCGGATCCTAGGCCGGCGCGGTACAATTTTCATCTCATCTATCTTCTGTGTCCTTACCCCCATTGGCTCTGCAGTGACCCAGAGCTGGGTACAGTTGTTTGTGGTCCGTCTTCTCCTGGGCATTGGAATGGGTCTCAAGGCCTCGACAATCCCAATCTTTTGCGCCGAAAATACTCCTGCTGTTATCCGCGGTGGTCTAGTCATGTCCTGGCAGCTCTGGACCGCTTTTGGCATTTTCCTTGGATTCAGTGCCAACCTTGCTGTCA